TAGTTCGGACAACAATATTTTTATATTGGATATGATGTTCATTGTTCACTAATTAAATATGATAGTGACATCGATCAGCTCTGTAGACATTAAAATTTCATCAGATTTAACACTGAACTCTATAAAACGAGTTCAATCTTTCATCAAACTCTAAGGTCCATTAGAATTTCTTATAGGTTACTCTATGTTAAAGATCGAGATAAAATCACTAAGATATAAGGTTTAGTGACAAGTGATTATCTTAAATATAGAGTTCATGTTAAAGTATATTAGGAGTATTATAGTTATCTTGTATTAAGAGTATTACTCTCTATATTTTGTATAACTTGCAAGTGTATAAATACACTATGATGTACTTATCCAAGTTATGAGACTAGCCTATCTTATCCAGGACGAACCAATATAGTGGCACGAATGAAGTCACTTCTAGCGGTGACAAAAGTAGTTTGAAAGTCAATGATAAAGGCAAAAACATTGATGATAAAGAGGAGAAATAAGTGTTGTTGAGAAGTTGGATCTCTAGTACACTATCAGAAAAAATTATTTACCTTATCGTTGGATAGAATAATGCAAAGAGATGTGAAAAACCTTGAAGGAAACTTACCTTCAAGCTATCAAGGAAAAAAATTTCAATTAAAGTAACGACTTCAAATTATCTTGCTTGAAAAAAAGTCTACATATGATCTCTTAAAAGTATTCTAGTGTATACGTGATGGTTTAGCATCCACAAGTTCGTAGATAAGGATAGCAAGGTGATAGATTTTTCCAAGGGACTATAAAACCTTTAAGACTATCATGCTTGATAAACCATATTATCTAACTTTGAGTCAACTGGCCAATGCATTGAGAGTCTTGTCAGAGTATAGAACCTGTTTGCAACACAAAGAAAGACATCTCGAAAATAGTGTATAAAAGTCATATCTTACAAAATCTTAATAATGATACAAGTACATAAAATTAGTAGTAGCTTTATTAGGGAGTTTCTTACAACCGGCATAAACCATGTAAAGAACATGGAGTCCAACGCACAACCCCAGTTGAGAGGATGCCCTATACCTTGTCAGGGTATAGAACCTATTTGAACTTGTTTTCTCTTATATTAAGAAAAAAAATCATAATTTTATGATGTATATATCAAACGATTATTTTTCCTACAACGATAATACAATTTTTCGATTCCCATCTTCACATCTAACTCCACCATTGGTCAGCGTCCAAACTCCAATTGAAGAAAGATCGACTACAGAAGATATAAGTAAATGAATAAATATTTAGTACAAAAAAAAAGAAGTCTATTTCTTTCTTTTCATAAAGAAGAAGAAATCAATTGGAATTTTACCTTTTGTATTAATGATTTTTTTAATAATTTGTAATAATATATCATAGCTCGTAATGAAATTTAATTTATAATATTATGTAACTATTTTCTTATGAAGTATTATTCTTTTAGAAAAAAAAATTAGTAGTATGTTTTAGATGAATTAATCAAATTGATAAGTTTGCTAATTTTAAAAAAATATGTTTTAGTAAAGATTTAATCAAATTTTAAAAAGTCTTAAAAAAAAGCAAGTATGATCAAACTAAATTTCAAAAAAATTAAATAAAACGATTTGTTTTTTTTGTTTTTCCGGTAAATGCCTTGCACTCCTTTCGTTCTTCTTTAGCGCGCTTTTTCCACCATCTCGCCGCCTACTCCACCGCTCTCTTTCTCCAGCGGAATCGACAGGTAAACAGGGCCGACTCAACAACATTGGAGGCCTAAAGCGAAACTGAAGAGAGGGGCCTTAATATTTTATTTTTTTCATCATATATACTTTTATTTAAAATCTATTTTTCTAAATATTTTAGATGCGAAGTCATTAGATACTGTTTTATAATCAATTTATTTTAATAATTCTTTTTCAAATGGTAATATAGCTAATATGTTCAATCTCTCTTGACACATTGTTGATCTTAAAGAAAATTTAATACTTCTTTCAGCTGATGCAACGGTTACAAGAACTGTTAACAGTATTATAAGTAATATGTGTATTTGGAAAAGAATCAAGTCTTTTTATTTGATTGAGTATCTTCATTAGATCATTATAATCTTCTACTTGTATTATTTCTTTTAACACTTTTAATTCAAAAAATAAATCTAAACCATCTATTACATGTTAAAGAAAGTTCAAGGTTAAGACAATATTTTTAAAATTCTCATCATCTAGTGATCTCAATATTTTACCACTAAATAAGAAATCAAAAATATTTCCTTATGCTTCAATTGGTTCAAATCTATGTTGAAGTGAAAAAATAGTTTGATCTACCCTACATATATAAAACAATAAACTCTAAAAGATTCTTCAAGGGACTTAATGATTTCGCTATCTATATTTTCATCAAATTGTTTCTTACGAAATTCAGGTTTACTTTCATCTCATATGCAATTTTCTTAGCAATTGTTTTTTCAAAAATGGGGGCCTCAAAATATATGGGGCCCCAAGCGATGGCTTTAGTGGCCTAGGGGTTAAGACGGCTCTGCAGGTAAAGTGCACTTCTGTTTTCCTGGTAGAGCTCACTATTCTCAATTTTTTTAGTATAAATTTTGTTTGATTGAATTTTGTGGAAGCGGAAAAAGACTTGATTTGAAGGCCGCCTTCGCATACATTCATATAGATATGACGGTGGTGCTGGTGGTGTGTGGTCAGCGGTGACTTCAATTGCGACTCGAGGCACATTTCCACACTTTCGGTGATTGTTGCTGTAAGTATATCCTCTGTTACTCTTATATTTGGAGTATTTATTCCTCACAGGTTGTAAAATTAAGTCGAATGTGTTCTGTGAGGATTCCGTTAATTCATATTCGGAACAGTAATTGTCTAAATTCGACTGGAGGATCTACAATTTCTTTCTGCGTTTCCATCGCCCTATAATCATCTGTTTTTTCATATATTTGTCTATGTAGAAACTAATTTGTCATTTGATAGGTGATATTAATAGGCTCCTTTTCAGTTACTGCGTTATTTCGCTTTTTATTGAATGCTCTTTAACTGTTTTCCTTATTAATTGACATGTTTTCTTCACTGTTGTATTTCCATAACTTCTTTGATTTGTTGCACTTGAGCCGAGGGTAGTTCGGAAGAATCATCTCTACCTCTATGAGGTAAGGTAAGGTCTGGATACAATCTACACTGCCCAAACCCCTCTTGGTATGTTGTTATCGCTGTTGTAGCCCCTTAGCGGTAAAATTTTGTAACCTGATTTTCAGGCATAAAAATATTCTTCGCCAAAATAGAAGTAGATGCCTATGAATTTACCTGTTAGGAAGGTCAAATAATTATGTCTATCCTTATTATAGGGTAAGAATAAATTCTCTATCGTAGAGAGGTATACTTCCAAGTTCTTTTATTGCCACTTCATTTGAGGTCCAGTAGAGTAAGTTTGTTGCGGCAGTTGAATTGCTTATTGATTAGTGTATCCAGCTGAATTACAGACTCCTGAATAGTTTAGATGGGAAGAGGAGATCCTAAAAAATGAAATTCAGGTTTATTCTTTGCATTGTGATTTGGCACTTCAGGGTTTCAATTTTCATTAGTACAAGGTTTTTTGTGAATTTGTAGTGTTAGTTGAAGTAGGTAACTGGACACACCTAAATAGAAGAAATTGAGTTCAGAAGAGCTTGTATTCGTGCTTAATTGTTGTAAGTCCAGCTTGATTGGTTTTGAATAAAGAATGCTCCTAAATGGAAGAAGTTGAGTTTAGAAGAACTTGGTTTTTGAACTTAATGATGGGCTAAAGAAAGAGGTGAATGTTCATTTTCCTCTTATACCCCACAAGTCATAAATGAGTTGCTTCTCTAAATATCTATGTGGCTTCAAACATGCAGCATTTGATGTGCAACAAGTGTACTCTTAACAGTGTGGAGTAAAAACTTTTCTAGGTGATGAGCTACTTTTAGCCTGCTAGCAATTCTGTTCGTTTGAGTTCTATACTTGCAGATAATGAGAAATGCATTCTTGTAGCGATTTTGTACTTTAAGTTCTACACTTACAGGTTTATATTAACTCCAGGACACAAGAGAGACTGCAGGGCCGTCTTAACCCCTAGGCCACTAAAGCCATCGCTTGGGGCCCCATATATTTTGAGGCCCCCATTTTTGAAAAAACAATTACTTATATATATATATTTTTTTGTAAAAATAAATTATATGTACTATGAGTGTTATGATTTCTGCTAAGAAAATTGCATATGAGATGAAAGTAAACCTGAATTTCGTAAGAAACAATTTGATGAAAATATAGATAGCGAAATCATTAAGTCCCTTGAAGAATCTTTTAGAGTTTATTGTTTTATATATGTAGGGTAGATCAAACTATTTTTTCACTTCAACATAGATTTGAACCAATTGAAGCATAAGGAAATATTTTTGATTTCTTATTTAGTGGTAAAATATTGAGATCACTAGATGATGAGAATTTTAAAAATATTGTCTTAACCTTGAACTTTCTTTAACATGTAATAGATGGTTTAGATTTATTTTTTGAATTAAAAGTGTTAAAAGAAATAATACAAGTAGAAGATTATAATGATCTAATGAAGATACTCAATCAAATAAAAAGACTTGATTCTTTTCCAAATACACATATTACTTATAATACTGTTAACAGTTCTTGTAACCGTTGCATCAGCTGAAAGAAGTATTAAATTTTCTTTAAGATCAACAATGTGTCAAGAGAGATTGAACATATTAGCTATATTACCATTTGAAAAAGAATTATTAAAATAAATTGATTATAAAACAGTATCTAATGACTTCGCATCTAAAATATTTAGAAAAATAGATTTTAAATAAAAGTATATATGATGAAAAAAATAAAATATTAAGGCCCCTCTCTTCAGTTTCGCTTTAGGCCTCCAATGTTGTTGAGTCGGCCCTGAGAGAGAGTAGCTGCATTATTAGCTGTTCCAAATAGTGTGTAAATTGCTAGAGTCCAACGTTAATCTAGACTTGGGGTGCAAAGATGAATTGCGATGAGAATATGGAGTCCAATGTTTATTTTCACATACAAGATGAGGCAGAAAGGCTGCTTAAAGAGATTGAACTGATGAAGAAGAATGTCGAGAACTCTGAATTGTATGCTGGAATGCGCTTCGATCTCGAACACAATGAAACTTTTCAACAATGTTTGTTTCGCCTTTTAGGTTCCCATTCACATGTTCAGGTGGTAATCTATGCTTTGGGAAGCATGGAATATAGTTTCCATTCACAGTTTCAGCTTGCCGTAGTTCTCCTACTTAAACAAGATATTTCCAATTGGATTGGCAATATACAAGTATATGATCCTTTAATGTCTCCAGCTGACATGCTAGTTTTCAGAAAACTGGATGTTGAGATGTTGACCATTGATGAAAATTGTAAGAGGCAAGTTCGGAGACCAACAATGTTCTACATGCCACTTCCTAGTTATTGGCTTATCGGCAACCTATTGGGAGCAAATTGGTCTTCGTCTTGTATTAACCAGATTTTTCTATTGACAAACTCATTTCGCTATTTGCTGACCAATATTTCATCATGTAATCAGAATGGAGAAACATCACATCGCGTAGAGAGAATTCTCCCCTTCACAACAGAGTTTGACATAAAAACTAGTCATGAGGAGATCTATACTAATGTGTTCTCAAGATTTTCTTGGCGTTTCTTTGATGTCGGTCCCAACGTTAACATGGAAACATCACTCCCTGGTACTGGATCTCTTTCTATCTTGATTCAACTTGGAGAATTTATTGGTTGGTCCATGACACTTGCACTGAACATAATTTATTTTGTTGTTACTGATTCAGTGACTAAGATTACAAAATATGAAAGAAGTGGAGGAGATCGACATTGGTTGGATTGGCAAAGGTACTTAGATGTGAGACTAGATACCAAACCTTCCATTTGTTATTGAATACAGTTCTTTTATCCAGAGTTAGCTCATTCATTATCCTTTACTCTCTCTCTCTCTCTCTGTGTATGATTGTTTCATTTATTTCCCCTCGTGATAAGATATGCTTCAGACATACAAGGTTTTTAAGTGTTAGTTGGAGAATCTCGATTGTTTTGGTTGAATTATGCAAAATACTTTGAAATTATTTGCTTAGAGGAAACCACAGAGTGATAGAGGTGAGCTGAAGTAACCATAGGAGGGGTAAGGTGTACTGCATCCCTAAAGATGTACTTTCAAATTTCCTGTAGCAGGTATCTTGAAGAAGTATTTTTGGAAATTATGCAAAGCGACATGTCTAGTGAGGGATTTGCGCAATTTCTTGGGGAAAATCGCGGGCCTCGTCATTTAAGATGCAACTCGGTTCCTCCTCCTTTAGGTTGGATTAAGCTAAACATTTATGGGATCGGTACAGAAGGTGATCAGCCAGGACGATTTAGTGGCGTTTTTCAAGATGATACTGGAATTTGTTTAGGTAAGTATAGTGGTACCATTGATGCTAATGACAATGTGATTGCTGGACTGGAGGCCTTGAGGAATGGATTAGTCAGATGTGTTGAAGGAAAGCCGAAGGCACAGAAGTTGATGGTGGAGTCCGATAACGTTATACTAATCCAATATCTTAATGGTCAACCTGAGCCAAATGAACTAACCATGTGCAGGTTGAAAGAAATTTTTGCCTTTCTAAAACATATAACTTGTGCATTTTATCACGTGTATGAAGAAGCCAATGAAGCTGCTAGAGACTTGGCTTTGAGAGATGAATGTCATAATCGCGCATAGATAGCATTGTTTTTTGTCTTGCGGGGTAGGGTGAAGCTTTCTAGGCAATTTGCATTTTATGGCAAGTGATGTTGCAGCAGACTGATGCAGACAAACCTTATATGCTAACTGAAGACAAGTCTAGTTCTGCTGTGGCATGTTATTTACTTTCTTCGTATGGGTTTTGGGTCGGGTTGGGTCGGAGTAAGAGATGAGTTATTCATCCGTAAGTTGGTATTTTTGATTGTGTGATTTTTGTGTTAGATATGATAGTTAAGTGACTTTTGTGGAGAAAATATGATAGTTACGTGATCATTTGTGAAATTTACCCTTGAATTATAGGTGATTATTATTGTATGGAGAAATTAAATACTAACAAAGGTATATGCATATATACTTCACATTACTTGTCTAGCCACGAGTCTGGGAATGAATGTCTGAATCTACATCATAAAAGTATGTAACGCAAAGTAAAGTATGTGGTCAGTACATGGAATATTGTAATGAGTATTTAAGATGTTACTAAGCATAATCATAAGATAAAATAAAATTAAATAAAATAAATGTAAGACATCTCGAAAATAGTGTATAAATATCTTACAAAATCTTGATAATGATACAAGTACATAAAATTAGTAGTAGCTTTACTAAGAAATTTCTTATGATTGACATAAACCACGTAAACAACATGGAGTCCATCATACAACCCTAGTTGAGGGGATGGCCTATACCTTGTTAGGATATAAAATCTGTTTGAACTTGTTTTCTCTTATATTAAGAAAAAAATCATAATTTTATGATGTATGTATCAAACAATTATTTTTTCCTTACATACGATAATACAATTTTTCGATATTTAAATCCCCATCTTCACATCTAGCTCCACCATTGGTCAGCGTCCAAACTCCAATTGAAGAAAGATCAACTAGAGAAGATATAAGTAAATAAATAAATATAATTAGTACCAAGAAAATACTAGTTTTCTTTTTTAGGAAAAGAAGAAGTCTATTTCTTTCTTTTCATAAAGAAGAAGAGATCAACTGAAATTTTACCTTTGTATTAGTGATGAGAATTTTCTTAATAGAATGTTATTAATAGTTGGGAAAAGGACAAATATACCCTCTAAACTATTATAAATGGTATGCAGATACCCTCCGTCATACTTTTGGGATATTGGTGCTCCTGTCGTCCAAAAACTAGAGCATATATACCCTTTATACTAACATACATACACGTGTTATAATCTTATCCACTGATCGACATTTATTAAATATTGGATCGACGGATAAGATTGTGCCACGTGTCCCTATTTAGTCTTCCGTTAGAGTGAATGACATATATGCTCTAGTTTTTGAATGACAGGAGCACCAATGTCCCAAAAGTATGACGGAGGGTATCCAGTGACGGACCCAGAATTTTTGCTTAGGGGGTTCGAAGTATAAAGAAGAAGTTCAGGTGGTAATGCAAAGTGCGCGGTGAGCGTAGTAGCCCCTCGGCATGCTCTTTGTACAAGAACCATAGATATTTCATTGGTTCATAAAAGTAAAGACTAAGCTAATCAAAAATATCAAGAACAAAGATGCATTGATAAGAATTTTAGTGGATCGACTGTATTACATAAGTTAATTCCTAAAACACATGAAAATTAAATGATGAAAAAGGGAGCAAGACGGGGAAGAAAGATATTTACCTTATCATGCTAAATTTAACTCACTTTATCATACCGTATTAAACATTTCTTTTTACTTTTATCATGCTCCATCGAGCATTCGTAAAATTTCTTGTGCTTTTTCTACTTTTATTTTGTAATGTTTTACATTATATTTCACTTTTTAAATTTTTTAAATTAATATCCATTCAATCAAATATTACTATGAAAATCGTCAAGATTCTCTAAAAGTGTGTAAGAATAGAGTTACTAATATTATAATGCATATTATTAATATAAATAAATATCGTCGTCAATTTTTTTAGTTCATATAGTTCAATTTAGTAGGTTAGTCATAATTTGTAAAAAAATAAATAAATAACGAATAAATCAAATAAGTTTAGTTTTCATTTCACTAAAATAGAATTAAAAATATAAAAGAAATTTCATGAATTCTATTAAATTAATATTTTTAAAAAGACGTTGACGATATTTAAGTTTCTTCATTCAATTACATCTAATTTACATTTTTTTTAAATAACCTATATTTCTATCTCAATTTCAAGTTAAATATAATTCATCATTTTAAAAAAAAAATTATTCAAACGTATATGAAAAAAGAGTTACGTTGAAACAAAATGAATAATAGATATAAAAAAAAATAAATGTGTCTAATAAATTTAAACAAAAATAAATTAAAAAGAAGAAATGAAATAAAAGGAAAAAATAATGAAAAAGAAGAAGAAGGTCTAGGCCCAAAAGTTCCATTTTCCAAAGCTAATATTAAAAAAGGGAAAAAATGTTGCCAATGGGACTTGAACCAATGACATAGGGGCACTACATGAACAACTTATCCATTCAGCCATGTCTGTCTTTTGTTCTTAGGGGGTTCATTTTAATATATATACACATAAAATCAGAATTTGATGTTATATATCCTATGTAATTTTTTGATAAGGGGATTCAGGTGAACTCTTAGGCTCCACCTAGGTCCACCCCTGAGGGTATTTACATATCATTTACAATAGTTCATGAGTATATTTGTCTTTTTTCCCTTAATAGTTTGTAACAATATATCGTAGCTCGTATATGAGATTTCATTTATGATACTATGTGACTAAGTATTATTCTTTTAGTAGTATGTTTAGATAAATTAATCAAATTGATAAGTAAAAAAAAAAATCAATCAAATTTTCGAAAGTCTTAAAAAAACAAGTATGATCAAACTAAATTTCAAAAATAAATAAATAAGGCGATTTGTTTGTTTTGTTTTTCCGCTAAATGCCTTGCACTCCTTCCGTTCTTCTTTAGCGCGCTTTTTCCACCATCTTGCCGCCTACTCCACCGCTCTCTTTCTCCGGCGGAATCGATTGGTAAAGTGCACTTCTGCTTTCCTGGTAGAGCTCTTAATTCTCAATTTATGGTATAATTTTGTTTGATTGAGTTTTGTGGAAGCGGAAAATAACTACAATTTCAAATTTTCTCGTTGATTTGAAGCCTTCGCATAGATTCATATAGCTATGACGGTGGTGCTGGTGGTGTGTGATCAGCGATGACTTCAATTGCGACTCGAGGCACATTTCCAAACTTCCGGTGATTGTTGCTGTCAGTATATCCTCTTTTACTCTCATATTTGGAGTATTTATTACTCACAGGTTGTAAAATTAAGTCGAATGTGTTCTGTGAGGATTTCGTTAATTCGTATTCGGAATAGTAATTGTCTAAGTTCGACTGGAGGATCTACAATTTCCTTCTGCGTTTCCATCGCCCTATAATCATCTGTTTTTTCATATATTTGTCCATGTAGAAACTAATTTTGTCATTTGATAGTTGATACTAGTAGGCTCCTTTTCAGTTACTGCGTTATTTCACTTTTTATTGAATGCTCTTTACTGTTTTCCTTATTAATTGACATGTTTTCTTCACTGTTGTATCTCTACCTCTACGAGGTAAGGTAAGGTTTAGATACACTCTACACTGCCCAAACCCCACTTGTATATGGTGTTATTGCTGTTGTAGCCCCTTAGCGGTAAAATTCTGTAACCTGATTTTCAGGCATATAAATATTCGGTAAAATAGAAGTAGATGCCTATGAATTTACCTGTTAGGAAGGTCAAATAATTATGTCTATCCTTATTATAGGGTAAGAATAAATTCTCTCTCGTTGAGAGGTAGTAAGTGTGTTGCGGCAGTTGAATTGCTTATTGATTAGTAGAAGTATCCAGCTGAATTACAGACTCCCCAATAGTTTTGATGGGAAGAGGAGATCCTAAAAAATGAAATTCAGGTTTATTCTTTGCATTGTGATTTGGCACTTCAGGGTTTCAATTTTCATTAGTACAAGGTTTTTTGTGAATTTGTATTGTTAGTTGAAGTAGGTGACTGGACACACGTAAATAGAAGAAATTGAGTTCAGGCTTGTATTCGTGTGTAATTGTTGTATGTCCAGCTTGATTGGTTTTGAATAAAGAATGCTCCTAAATGGAAGAAGTTGAGTTTAGAAGAATTTGGTTTTTGAACTTAATGATGGGCTAAAGAAAGAGGCGAATGTTCATTTTCCTCTTATCCCCCACAAGTCATAACTGAGTTTCTTCTCGAAATATCTGTGTGGCTTCAAACATGTAGCATTTGATGTGCAGCAAGTGTACTCTTAACAGTTTGGAGTAAAAGATTTTCTAGGTGATGAGCTATTTTTGGACTGCTAGCAATTCTGTACGTTTGAGTTCTAAATTTGCAGATAATGAGAAATGCATTCTTCTAGCGATTTTGTACTTCAAGTTCTACACTTACAGGTTTTGTATTAACTCTAGGGCACAAGAGAGAGTAGCTGCATTATTAGCTGTTCCAAATAGTGTGTAAATTGCTAGAGTCCAACATTAATCTGGACCTGGGGTGCAAAGATGAATTGCGATGAGAATATGGAGTCCAATGTTTATTTTCACATACAAGATGAGGCAGAAAGGCTGCTTAAAGAGATTAAACTGATGATGAAGAATGTTGAGACCTCTGAATTGTATGCTGGAATGCGCTTCGATCTCGAACACAATGAAACTTTTCAACAACATTTGTTTCGCCTTTTAGGCTCCCATTCACATGTTCAGGTGGTAATCTATGCTTTGGGAAGCATGGAATATGGTTTCAATTCACAGTTTCAGCTTGCCGTAGTTCTCCTGCTAAAGCGAGATTTTTCCAATTGGATTGGCAATATCAAGTATATGATCCTTTAATGTCTCCAGCTGACATGCTAGTTTTCAGAAAACTGGATGTAGAGATGTTGACCATTGATGAAGATTGTAAGAGGCAAGTTCGGAGGCCAACAATGTTCTACATGCCCGTTCCTAATTATTGTCTTATCGGCAACCTGTTGGGAGCA